ATTTAATGTACACATACATACAACATTCAAAGATGAGCTGCACAACAACTACCGCCCTTAGAGTTATTGTGTCATGTATTTCATCCCATTACATACGTTTTTTTAGTTGTTCTATTAAACTATTTGATTACAAATATGTCTGAGCTAAACAGAGGATGAATGACAAATGAGATTGTTACTAGACAACAGACACACTCACAATTGTACTACACATACTATAGACTGAAAACTCTACTATTATTCGATTCGATATTATTTCGGAAATAATTAACCTTTCGCTGATTATATCGCTTCGAACATCACAACTATGAATAGGTGGAACGCCTTTAAAACAAACTGCGATTTAGTTATAAGAACGTAGAAACTATTTTCTTCCAACGTCTAGTAACGTATAGCGATATCCATTAGGTAATGTCGCACGTGAGTGAATGACACGTGTACATACCATGCACAATACAATATAGAGTGGTATTCCTGCTAAACCTAGTGTTTAAAGTTTTTATAAATTAACTCGTCAGAAATATAAAACCAACATATCAATAAACTATGCGCGCTAATGAGGACAATAAAACTCATAAGCAGCGAACATTTATGGAGTGGCGAGAACACATCAATATGTACAATATCAATTGTGTATCATAGTACAGACTGTGTCAACTTACATCAAACAAATCAGTATTGACGTCTCGTCGCTCTCTGTGTGTTTTTTCTGCATGACTCGTGACAACACAGCATACAATCAACATATATGACAACATTTCCAGATTCTTCACTGTCTACGTATTGATGTGTGTTAAGAAAATGATTTGTAGTTTTAGAGTGAACTAATCCACTTTGATTTGCGATTAATCCCATGTTAACATAACTTGAAGGGGGCTCTGGGTAACCATGGTTATATACGTATTTACATATTGAAATATACACGCTGACAAATGCAATTCACATTGTAATGAGATATAGATTGAGATATTAAGGTTTGTTGTATGTTTGCCACACATTAACATTGTTAATCCCGTGCAATACATCCATAGAATCCTTTTGAGTGATAATTCATGTATTTGCGTTGGGGTATGCAGTGTTTATTTACCGATGATGCAATAACACGTGCTTTGGAATCCTGTTTACTTAGCACTTTACTGTGATGATTTCACATCATTTTTTCTTATGATATTTCACAGATTACGCATGCCTAATGATTTCTAAGTGTTTATTTGATATGTTAGTGATAGGTTTCTTGCTTATATTGATGGTGCATTCCGTCAGTTTTTTTCGCCACTAGATGGCGCTTTTAATATACCACTTATCAATTTACGATGCCATAATGTGTTGAGATGAGACATGCTATTTATCGTTTCTTTCATTTATTTGTTATTCAGTCAATCATTCATCATATGTGTACAAGTAATTCATTTGCAAAGTTTGGTTGTACTGAGTTATACTAGGAGGAAATAAATTGTCATCAATCATTACGGACATTTGTTTCATTATTGTGAGGAGGACACATTGACGACGGAGTGAGCCAGCTAATTGGCATATGCATCTATAGACATTTTCTAGATTTACTAGTAAAAGACACATGGCTCTTGAATCCGGGTTTATAAATGCTACACGTACTCACTCGTGATTGCAGTTATTGTGTGGTGCGTGCCTATATACAACACCGTCACAGCTACAAATAGCTGGAAATTGAAAGATCGGGGTTGTAGTTGCAATAGTAGCGAGCGCGACCGATTGTTAGAACGTGAGCACGTCTTGTTTATGCTGCGGCATCAGGTACAGAAATACCAATACACACTGTGAATGTTTGAATAAATGACAGAAATATGGATAACACCCAAAAATAAATGAAACAATTGCATTTGTAATGTATCCTATAAAGTGTGTGATAAAACCTTCATGAGCTGGATACGATAGTTGCTGACCTCGGACCACAACAGCCGTATCTAGTCTGTACAGATTAAAACTACGCATATGCGACAAACTGTCTACACACTAAGATTCGCTTATTCACAGCGGAATTGTGATTTGCTGATACTTTTCAATTCGCGATAGTGATACAAATTATTTATGTTTTGGCAAGGTGGTAATAATCAAGTCTGCCGCCATCTAACACACAACGCGACAAATCTGAATTGGACCTCCCCCCAACAAATTTATGTGTATTATATTTCTCAAATTGATATTGTCAGATATAAACGTAAACGTATTATGTTAATACATTATCACAATTTATTCAAATATATAAAACATGACATTTGTTGTATTTTGTCAAACCATTTCTTTCATAAAATATCACAAAATAGTTCCCTCTGTATATCAATCCCATACCAGTTACAATGAATATATCTGTTGGCATACAGAGGTATGCAAACTTCTGTCAGGAACTTTTTGTCATCAAGGAATCTTAATTGGTTATTATACCGGACCAAAAAATCACCAATGATGTATTTTTAGACATAGTAAACACCGTTTGACGAATGTGTCACGTGTGTAACATATCCATTCATTCGTTCGTTCATTCGTTTGTTTGAAGACTGACTAATATTTTGAAATAAGCGGATTGCAATATACGTTGCATTGAACAGTATTGTCTTGTTCACGAGAAGTGATAAGCTGTAGATGAACATGACACGTATACAATTAGTAAATTCAGAAAAGACCAAAACTCTGATCTCAAAATGTAATCAGCTCCTTACTTTACTACCTGGTGCTGAATAGTGGTGATTGTTTTGTTTTTTTGTTAGCCAGGGCAAAAATAGATTAAAATCTTTGAGACGGATTTGACAAAATCCTGACTAGGTATGCGTACCCCACCCCATGACAACAGATTATGCAATGTTGAACAGTGACCCGAACAGTGCATTTGATTTATCGTTTGTCGATCATGTTGTTTTCTATTTTCTAAACACATGTTTTGTTGTTGCTGTGATACTGATCCACCCGGAGTGACGAAATTTGTTTTCCATATGTATAATGTCAACTTGGATGACCTGATATTCGGCAATTATTAAAGGGTTGATATATTAGATCGACCCTATGATCAAAGCAAGCATTTGCCACGTGTAAATTGTTCCGGCTGTAGATATTTAAATGTCGATATCAGAAATGTACACGTGTATTGATTGCAAGTTTGTCAAATAAACAATTTTGATAACACTGATTGGATTGTCACTGAACAAAGCGCATTCCTATGTGTTTGTTCAAAGCGATACAAACAAATTCAGGATTTGACTATTCTATTGTCGTATTACATGGTAGAACAGTATTTGCTGGAGCAATAAATATATTCGCGTCTTTAGTGCACTCATATTGAAAGATGGCAGCTTGAAAGCATACAATTACCTCATTAAAGGCACTTATATAATCCATAATTCTTAATCGAATCTATCCGATGTTATTGCTGCTATTCACATTGTGTATTGGTATTTCTGTACCTGATTTCGCAGCATAAACAAGACATGCTCACGTTCAGACATTCGGTCGCGCTCGCTACTATTGCAACTACAACCCCGATCTTCCCATTTCCGACAGCTATTTGTAGCTGTGACGGTATTGTATAGAGGCACGCACCACACAATAACTGCAATCACGAGTGAGTATGTGTAGCATTTATAAACCCGGATTCAAGAGCCATGTGTCTTTTACTAGTAAATCTAGAAAATGTCTATAGATGCATATGCCGATTAGCTGGCTCACTCCGTCGTCAATGTGTCCTCCTCACAATAATGAAACAAATGTTCGTAACGATTGATGACAATTTATTTCCTCCTAGTATAACTCAGTACAACCAAAAATCATACCGTATTTGTAAATTTTGCCGAGCACAATCGACCTCAGCATAGTCGCATTTCAGAATGTTTGATGTTTATTGAACATGAATCGACATAGTATTTGAAGGTCAATGATTCCACGAGTGTGAAGACTGCGTTCGGTTCGATTCACGTACGATTGAAACGTCCGCTGAAATACCTATAATTCACCTAATTATAAGTGGCGTTATACCGTCAGTTAACAAATAGCACATTTATGTAAAATATAAGTAGGGCTATAGAGCCTAAGATAACATTTCAGTGACAATGACTAAGTAGGGTAATAAAGCAGTAATTTGGCCATAACTATACGATATGCTCCAGGTTTAGCAAATGTTGTTCACCGTTATCTACCCGACAGAAGAGAGATATATTTAGAGACACGCTGAATGCAAAATACTATATATAAATACTGAAACTGAAGTAACTTGTGATTGTGTAAAATAGCATATTGTGATGCAATAATTGATAATTCATTGCTCAATATTAAACTACTGATATCAGCGTGTATACTGTAATTTTGGACTTCTATTTGCTGGTATTGGTGGGATTCGTTTAATTCACATTGGTAGATGAGAATATATTCTTTAATTGAAAAAACAGGTCTAGTTTACTGCTGAACAATATCATATTTGCACAAGACATAATTCTGCGTTAAAACGATTCACGGATGTATTGCACGGGGTTTGCAATGTTAATGTGTGACAAACATACAAAAAACCTTAATATCTAAATATAAATCACATATTGAGGACATTGTTTTAATCTATACTCAATATGTGTAATGATTGATTTGTTTTTCATTCGATTTTGAATGGCATAGATTTAAATAAACTGTGAAAAATGAAGGACACTATATTTTATGTGGCACGAATTTGGACCGGACCTAGCAGTATTATGATACGGGCTGATGAGAGTGTGTCTATTTCTTCGCATTTGGGCTATCGATAAGAAAATTTGAGCACAAAAATTGTGATCGTCGATGAACTCTGTTGTGAGCTCTGATGTTGAATATTATAATATTGTCTTCTTGATATGACTACGTTGTATTACACTTTTTCATTATAATATTAGAATGTGAATTACATTTGTCAGCGTGTATATTTCAATATGCAAATACGTATATAACCATGGTTACCCAGAGCCACCCTCAAGTTATGTTAACGTGGGATTAATCGCAAATCAAAGTGAGTTAGTTCACTCTAAAACTACAACCATTTTCTTAACACACATCAATACATAGACAGTGAAGAATCTGGAAATGTTGTCATATATGTTGATTGTATGCTGTGTTGTCACGAGTCATGCAGAAAAAACACACAGAGAGCGACGAGACGTTAATACTGATTTGCTTGATGTAAGTTGACACAGTCTGTACTGATACACAATTCTTATTAATTTATCTTCATGTAATCGTGTAATGAATCGATTATTTAATTGTTTTGGGCGCATTCTACCTATTAAAAGAGAACGATATCGAGATTCAACCAGTGTGGATTTAATCCACGTACTTCACACTGTCGTCTGTAAACGCCGGCTCTTGCATGACATAACGCATGTGCCGTGTAAAAATGGCACCTAAAATGGATGCAGATTCTACTAGTTTAATTTTTGTTCTCCAATTCATAGTAAACTATATGTTTTAGCAGTGCAGTGTTTAAAAGGCAATTCTGTAAACGTGTACATTATCTAACCACCGTGATATTATAACTGAAGACAGTTTTAAATAAGCTATATATTGTACTAAGTGACGTGTGGCATACATATTGTACAAATTGTTGTGTTCTCGCCACACCATACGTTTTCGCTGCTTGTGAGTTGTATTGTCCTCATTAGTGCGCTTAGTTTATTGATGTGTTGGTTTTATATTTCTGACGAGTTAATTTATAAAAACTTTAAACACTAGGTTTAGCAGGATACCACTCTATATTGTATTGTGCATGGTATGTACACGTGTTATTCACTCACGTGGGACATTACTTAATGAATGTCGCTATATGTTACCAAGAAGTCATTATGAGTGAAAAATAAACACGCCTTGCACACTGGTTCTAATTGTTACTCATTTTCAAATAAAGTGATTTAGAAAAGCGGCGTGAACAAACAAATACTGCAAAATAGTTTCTACGTTCTTATAATTAAATCGCCGTTCGTTTTAAAGGCGTTCCACTTATTCATAATTGTTATGTTCGAAGCGATAAAATCAGCGAATGGTTTTCTTTCCCGAAAAAAATATCGAATCGAATAATAGAATAATAGTTTGCAGTCTATAGTATTGTAGTACAATTGTGATTGTGTTTGTTGTCTAGTAACAATCTCATTTGTCATTCATCCTCTGTTTATCTCAGACATATTTGTAATCAAATAGATTAATAGAACAACTAAATAACGTATGTAATGGAATGAAATACATGACACAATAACTCTAAGGGCGGTAGTTGTTGTGCAGCTCATCTTGGAATGTTGTATGTATGTGTAAATCACTATGCTTAAATTCTTACTGTTTTATTCCTCAATCCAATTTGAATTTCTTTCACATCGTGATAATATTAATGAGTCTAGTCTAATGAAATTGAACCAATGTATGACGTATGATACGTTTGTAACATATGGTAGGATTGCTTCTAGATTGATGACAACCCTGTAGTAGATACTAAAGATATATATATATAGGCTTTTCATATTCTCGACTTTTCAATAAGCAAATATATGACATATATATACATCATATACACTCGCATTTACCTTGTATTATGTGACTATTGCATCCAATTGAAATTGAGTGATTCATTCAGCATTTACAGCTAGTAATCACTAGCGTCGTAATCGAGATAATTGTAGATCATGATGATTATTAGTTCTGAGAAACGAGTAAAAATAAAGATCAGACTCTTAAATTGCCATTTCATTTAATGTCCCTCTCTACCCAAAGGGTTTGTAATACTTTTTTCGAGAGGTTCAGTCGGGGAAGGGTGGATATGCTAGACCTGCGGCCAGGGGATCTGAAGTCACCGGGGTTGAAGATGAAGGGGAATCACTCACTCGACTTGGCTGCTTGGATACCGGGGTCACGGCACATGTGTCGTGAGGTCAGTACGCATGTATACACATTCACACAAGGCTTTGATACGAGACACGTTGTTGTTGGTTTCGCACTTGGTCTCTTGCAACTAAAATACTTATACAACACTGAAATCTACTAAGTTATGGAAGCGGGTTGACTCGCTTGTACTTGTTTGTTGTTGCGTCTGCCGACGTGGACTTAATGTAAATAAGATTCGACCTCCTATGAATGAGATCCTTATAAAGGGAATATCGACAGCATTATTCTTATTGAAACATGTGACATCAATCCTAATTGATATGTGAATTTAGCCCCAGCTCGTATTTGGGCTATGACAGGTTGTTGCTTACGATGTTGCCAAACAAATGACTTCGATGTAATGAAACGTATTATTAATTTTCGTGAATTACATATATTATAACTGCAAAATGACAGAACCTGAAGTAATTTCCATAAGTGATTTCACAATATAAAATGTTCACAGAAGGGCGTGGTTAGTATTTGTAAGTACATGACATGATGATTTCTCGAGGATTTATGCATATAGGTTGAATATATCTAGCTTAGTGTTTTACGGTGTGAATGGGCGATGTATTTCCCTAACCGATACTGTCGCAGATGTGGAAATTAACTCGTAATGTGTTCTCTAAGCAACTCGCATGCGAAGAGCTAGTTGATTGACTTGCTGTTGGAGTAAGGTTAGATTATAAATTACAAGATGGCATTGTATCGTCGATTTCATTGACATCACGTGAAATGAGATGTTATTAGAATTTGAGGATTGCGTTTACTATAATTAGATGATTACAACGTCAACGGAGGAAGCATTATAATAGATGTATTAGAATATATGAATGTTATATGTAGAACATTTTACAGCAAGTCAGATAAATTATTGTGACACGGTAATAATAATTTTGTTATATATAGATAATACACATTATTGTAATAAACATCTGAGAGTGCAGTGCCTGGTGGAGGATGATATACTATGTACAATCTAGCGGTGAGAGATGCGCAAGTTTTTCCGCATTTCCTTCTGTGTTTGTTTAGTCTTGTCTTGTTTCAAGTATTGGTTTGTTTGTGCTTTTCTTGAACCACAATTTAGGGAAAATCGTATTTACATCAATCAGTATGAATAATCAGTACGATTCGTGAAAAAAATGTAAATATATCAATCGTACAATATCAATAATAGTTATTTGATTCACTAATTATATTCATAATGAAATCAGTTTATGTACATAAATAAACTTTCAAAATATGTCTATAGTTTTTACTATTTAATATTTACAATATAATGGATGTGCTGACTCGCTGGAATGCTGTAAAGCAGAGATATGGCATAGATAGGATATTAATATGTCACCCATAAAGCAATATATGTGTTCAATTATAGTAAATTGTATTTGGTAACCGCCAAAGTTAATGGAAATTATCGCGACTGTTACATACATTTGATATGGTCACTCATATAATAATAACTTTATTACTCTACTAAAAACCTTCAGAGGGTTTTTGTATGGTAAAGACCATAAATACAAAGAAATACAAATATGGATATTCTTTATATTCATGATGATGATGATTTACTGTGAATATAGCAGATATATTTTGAGACGTCACATACTGGTTAACGCCAGGTTTTTTCATGACATCAAAACTCGTCTTGTATATAAGGCGAATGTAAGGTTTTTCTATTCTAAATTGTGTTCAACAGACATGCGCCTCCATCACCGAAAACACCGGGAATCCCTGTGTAAATAATCCATGTCACCCACCAGCTGTATGTCTCACATCGTGTACTGAATTAGGATATATATGCCTGTGTCGTACTGATGTATTCACTGGTGCTGATTGTGATGTAGTGAATGTTAAAATTGGTAAGTTGATGTACTACTACGCCAATAGGGTAGATAAATCATTCGATGATTAATTGTTTTTTTTTTATCAGTTAGGTTTCGTTTTATACATTTAAATTTGGGCGACTCCCGATACTCGTAACTTGGCGCATTTGACGACGCGAAGGGTTCAGGTTTCCAGTTTTTTTTTTTCACTGAGGTTTCATTGTATTTTTTTTATTTGTAGGGCAGTATATGTGATGATCGAAAAAAAAATGTGTTTTTTACTCTTGTATTAAGTTCTCGCTAGTTACAGTATGTCTAACATAGTTAGACAACACTTTGGTGTTAATTACGTAGTATATTGTGACGCAACGAAACACCATGTTTGTACGTAACTACTTGTTGTCACTTCATCTGCATGTCAACATCTAAATTCCGACATTTTCTGTAGGTGTTTTGTCAATAAAACTCGCATGAAACTTGGTTGAGTTCACACAAAAGCTAGAGAGTCTTATTACCTCAGGTATTTATTATTCTTTTTACAGCTCAAGATGGAAGTGAATGCTACTACGAAGATGATGGCAGTGACTATCGCGGTTCTCTTAACGTTACAAAAAATGGAAGGACATGTCAAAACTGGTTAAAACAGTATCCACACACCCACACAATTACACGTAAAAATTATCCTTCATTTGGGCTGGGAGATCACAATAGCTGTCGCAATCCAGATAACGGTTTGGGTATATGGTGTTACACAACTGATCCAGGGGTACGATATGAATATTGTGATGGTATTCAACCAATGGAATATTGTGAATATGGTATGGTATTTTCATTTTGTCACTTATCAAGTTTTTGATCATTTTAATCAAACGAGTGAATTCTGAACGCGTCAATTTCAACAATTCATTCAGATAGACCCAATATTTTGTAAAAGTAAAAAAAGAAATTATATTAATATCAGGAAATATATATTTGAAAGTCATGTTACAAATTGAGACGAAGTTTTATAAGTGGGATGTGCCAACATAAGATTTCTAATCTGTATCACTAGATATTCATATAAATATAATGATAATAAATGTTGGCACTTTGCCAAGCAATATTTGAATTTCTTCTTCACAGTATTTACCCTAAACGCATTAAAACAATATTAAACGAATCTAAAATTGTACATACTAATATTTCTTTTGAATAGTTATTGCCAAACAATGCCCGACAATATATTTATGCATGACTAAAAATTTTCAGTTGAGCAGTGACATGCCCCATACGTGCCATGATAGATTTATTATACATTTATCACAGAATATATGTTTTGTGATATTCATGTCAATTTCATCTCATAAACGTTACTCATGCATATTTTGAAAGCAGAATGTTGCGGACAAACTAAAATATAGAATTATAGAACTATTGCTAAGGATAAATCATTGCGCCCGCGCCTCGTGTCCTAATGTTATTGGCGCCACGGTGTTCTATGCCACGAGGTCTTGCGTACGCTGTGGCGATTCGGGTCGTTCTAATATTTCCACCAATGCGTTACGATTTTGTTTTTATTTTCAACTGGAGGGTCTGAATAATATTTGAAAAAATACAAACATGGTATCCGGTATATATATTACATTACACTGTGGGGATACGCACGCTGTGCATGTGACATTATACTATACCATACAATACAAATATTGATCTCTGCCAAGTATGATATATATATATTTGGTGACTCGAAGAAATCATTATTGACCGAGGAGAAGCGTAACGAAGGTAAACAATGTTCTAAACATATTATTTTAAAGCGGGGAGTCGTCACCTGTGCATGCGTCACATGGCCATAGTTAGACTGGCGCAGTCGGGGCGATTGATTAGTTTTTGTAGTTTAAATAAAATAAACAAATTCGCGAAATCACCCCGACTGGTTTATTCTGCAGGAAATTCGTTGCTATTAAATATTCATGAATGCACTTATTATAATGAGGTGGGCGCGGAAATACGTGCATAATGAGGTCAACATGGTAAAGGTTCACTGCAGACCCAACATGGCGGCACGTTAAAATTCGAGTTTGTCGTAGTCGTCGTTTCTACCTCATCACAATGTGTAAAAAAGTAACTCGTACTAGTCGTAGAATTAAAAAAAGTCGGCTGCTACAATCAGCCGACGTCTTCTCGGTCAGAGGTAAGTTGAAGAGACGTCGTGGTTGGCTTAGATGATTGTCAATTAGCTCACTCATTAACATAATTTACCGTTGAAAAATCGACGGGTTCCTGCAGTGTCGATAGAGGGCCATGCAGAATAAACCAGTCGGGGTGATTTCGCAGTTACAGGGGATTTCGCGCTAACACCTCCATTCTATTTAAAGTACAAAAACAAATTAATCGCCCCGACTGCGCCAGTCTAGACCAAAGTGTGCCATGTTAACAAACAAGCGTCTACCCATGCGCCTTCGCGGTTTTTAGTGTGTGTTGTTATCGTCCATTGGGACTCAATTCCCGCGCGTGCGCAGGTGACGACACTCCCGCTTCAAATACACCACAATATAACACAGTTATGGTTAAATGAACAATTTAATCTGACCCCGATGATTGTGCGATACACAAGGCGTCACACAAGTGAAATACATAGAACAAATTCTCAAATGCCGTGAAAAATCAGGGGTTCAGCTCGTTCAGTGTGGCAACTCAGCGACTCGCACAGTCGTGTTCATTGATTATATTCTTTTCTCGAGTTTTCGAGATGGTTCATTTTGAAAATTTCGAAAAAAACAGCCATTCAAGTTTTTAGAACTATTAATTGCTTAGGGAAGTGTGTATTGGTGATAACTCACAGTTACAGGATGTAATAATGGACGACAGTCAATGGCTTCTGCAACACAACAACAAAGAAATACAGAAGTCTTGCTTGCAGAGGAACGCTGTTATTCTGGAGGGCACGGCTGAAAGCAGGAGATCGCAGAGCAGTTCATACAAGTCTCACAGAATGATGGTTGTAGCCTGTATCACTTGTCACACAATATCGTAGCAGCAAACACTGGATACCAAGTTGAAATGATGGACCCCAACTGTCCAATGTATAGGCATGATTCAGTGTCAACACCTGGGTTTCCACATGAGCCAATCAGAATGTGATTTTGATAGCAGCTGTGTCACATAGGCAACTCAGTAAATCATAAACATCCTTTATTATTCAAATAACAGCACACCTGGTAGATTCCAATTCTCCTTCCAAGTTGTAAACACCCTTTGATATGTAAATTACAAGCACACCTGGTAGATTCTACTGTCCTTCCAGAGTTGAAAACAAGTATGACCTGTCAATCACCTTTATGACTGTTATAACAATGCACACCGTTTCTTCCCATGATTCCATGCACACTTCCATTTGCACGGTTTGAGGTAATATGACAAAAACATGAAATAAAGGATGCTGACATTGCCCCCTCATCAAGACATTTTCAGTCCAATAATCAGCATCAACCGCCAATAAATTCACATTTCTCAAAATTGCAAAAAAGTATTGTAACAGTAATTCTAAGTATTGTGAATCCTGCTTAAATAGTCTGCACCTATATTTTCTTTACCTTCAATTGCTATAATGCGGTAGCTAAAAGATTGCAAATATACGGCACATGGCATTAACCTACTGTCTTAACCTACACCAACCCTACTATGACAAAACGTGAAATAAAGACTGACACATTTCAAGTTTTAAACCGAGTTAATATATTGTAATAAATGTGTCTGCAAAACTATATATGATAATAAGTAACTAATTTACTCATACCTGCATTTTGTGGGATATTCGCTCGTTAAAATTTTTAAAATCAAACATACGGTTATCCAATGAAACGTTTCAAAAATCACCTGCTTAATAAGAGGCATAACGGGCGTGTAATCTTTAGCGTTGTTGTTATGTGTGAGTGTGAGTGAGGGGTGAACTCGGTACACATTGTGCATAGATGTGTGTGAGTGTAAGTGAGGGGTGAACTCGGTACACGTTGTGCATAGATGTGTGTGAGTGTGAGTGAGGGGTGAACTCGGTACACATTGTGCATAGATGTGTGTGAGTGTGAGTGAGGGGTGAACTCGGTACACATTGTGCATAGATGTGTGTGAGTGTGAGTGAGGGGTGAACTCGGTACACATTGTGCATAGATGTGTGTGAGTGTGAGTGAGGGGTGAACTCGGTACACATTGTGCATAGATGTGTGTGAGTGTGAGTGAGGGGTGAACTCGGTACACATTGTGCATAGATGTGTGTGAGTGTGAGTGAGGGGTGAACTCGGTACACATTGTGCATAGATGTGTGTGAGTGTGAGTGAGGGGTGAACTCGGTACACATTGTGCATAGATGTGTGTGAGTGTGAGTGAGGGGTGAACTCGGTACACATTGTGCATAGATGTGTGTGAGTGTGAGTGAGGGGTGAACTCGGTACACATTGTGCATAGATGTGTGTGAGTGTGAGTGAGGGGTGAACTCGGTACACATTGTGCATAGATGTGTGTGAGTGTGAGTGA